CCTTCAATTTTTCCTTCTCAATTTTTGTCCTTTGTGCATCATTTGCACCTGTCGCTGGTTCTGGAACTCCAGTTTCAACAATAGTCCAATACTCTTTGGACCGAAGAAAATTCTCCATCAACATACTCCAATGGTCGTAGTGATGACCATCAAAACGAGGGATTGAGGGCTGGACATAATTTTCGGAAGCTATGGAATTTTTCGGGAATAAGCTCTGATACCAAATGTTAAAAAATCAATGATTCCCGAAAAAAAGAAGATGGAATGAAAAACTGAATCTCTCATTAGACTGAAAATAATCCAGCCTTTAAATAGACTTTACAAGATAATATTATCTAAAAAAATAACTAATAAATCTTATCTAATGTAATTTAAATGATAACAACCTAAAACAAATAAATAACTTAAACTTCCTAAAATATAGAGATAATGGCTAAATAATAGGATCTAATTTCTAACATATTGTCCATACATATAATTGTAATATATAGTAATAATTAAGGAACTTATTATCATGTTGGGTGTCTCCATGCAATATAGTTATATAAAAATGGAAAATATTGGATTATTAAGTTGATGCCGCCGATTCCAAAACGTTCAATAAATTTGCCGAGGGGGGAAACCAAATTTTAAAAGGCTTATACACGCAACCGTTTCATGATAATAATAGATATAGTCTCATTTATGCCAAAATCTATTAATAAAACAAAGTTAAAAAGTGAATCACTTTTATATATATATATATTGAAAAATAGATATTAGTTCTGACTCTTAAAATAAATTGGAGTCTCAAACTTAAATTACCTCGTTTTATTTTATTAAAATTCAATTCAAAATTTAAAAATTGATTTTACTAAATATTGATATTTAGATTTCAAAACTAATTTTATTACAATACATAATCAGTTTTTAAATCTTGATATTAAATTTAATAAAATGAATTTTTGAGTTTTGAATTAAAATTTTGATTTTTAAATGTAAGTTGAGAATTTAATTTTTTTAAGAGTTGAGACTAATATACATTGATCTTATATATATATATATATATATATCTATCTATCTTGAGTTAATCACTTTTTTAAATCCAATATATTGGTGAGAATCTGCAAAGACATTTCCCTAATGGCTACAAATGTTTCATTTAATGTAGTTTATGTTAATTTTATTCCTTACTTCTGTAACTAGTCAACTATATAAATTTTTTATTTTATAATTTAAATTATACCAAATTGTAGAATATTAATCATTAAATATTTAGATGAAAGAAAATAACTCCAAATATTAGGGGATCTATCTCATTTAATGATTAATGTTCTAAAGTTTAATACAATGTAAATTATATAATATTTTTTTATCCATTTAGCTGCATCATTGTAAACAAACAATTATTAATAATGTATAATTAAAGTCTTTCCCATTTTGAATTTCCCGCTGTCTGCCAATCATGTTACTGTAACTATTATTGTAATATTATTGTCGGGATATTAAATGAAATTAAATCATAGCACTTGTACTGCAGTACATGAATAAATTGTTTTCATTTATTTTTTTTAGAAACATGTATTTCAGTCGAACTAGCTGATAATATGATACTACTTTTTTCTTTTTTCAGATGCAAAAATGTGATTTCACAGGTGGATATATGAGTTAAAAAATAGTTTGTCTAAACCAAAAGGGTTAAAACCCTATTTTGATCCCTGTGCTTTGATAAAGCCTCTTTTGGTCCCAACACTTAAGAAAACCCATTTTTGGCCCTTAAAATTAATGTTAAAATGCTAATTTGGTCCTCAACTTTCAAATTTATACTAAAATTGTCCTTTAACTTCAAACTTATAAAAATTGTCCTTCAACTTCAAAAAGTACAAAAATCGTTCTTAAACTTTAATTTTTGGTATCAAAATAGTCTTGAACTTTAAAAATAAGTACTAATTTTGTTCTTAAACTTTCATTAAAAGTATCAATTTGGTCTTTCAACTTTAATTATATGCCAATCTAATGTGTAAATGAAAATATACCACAATAGTAAAATATGATTATTTGATCTTACACGTCATTGGTGTTTTAAAAATTAATTGATTTTGTAGCAAGATAGGGAGTTACATGACATTTTTGTTAATTGAAGGACCATTATGGTATTGAAAATCAAAGTTGATGGATAATTTTGGTATGTTTTGAAGTTGAAGAACAATTTTAGTAAAAATCTAAAACTTGAGAGATTGAATTAGCATTTTAAACTAAAATTTATTTTACCAGGCCCTTTTTAGTCATTATATTAAATTTTTGATGAAGTGGCATATTAAGATAATGGAATTGCTTAATTTATTCTTTATATATATGACATAGAAATTCCACACCATAAGCAAATGATATTGTGAATAAAAAAATACTCCATTCTTCAGAAACATACACAAGATACAATTCTGCCAAACAACCAACAACTATACATATCTAAATCAATTAGTTCTCTATTAGAATGTAAAACCCAAGAAATAATTTCTATCTCATGAGATAGAAATGCTCTTTCCCATGAGATTTGAAGGAAAAGTAAATCAATAGAGTTTGTAAAGCAAAAAAAATATGCATTTGGGTCTACAATTAACAAACCAAAGGATGCTTTAGATGGAGGAAGAGCAAAAAACACTTTGGATTGACAAAGTGGAGAAGATATGATTTAAGTGGAGAAGAGTGGAGGAAAAAAAGGGGGAAGAGGAAGAGATTTGGTTCAGGCAAAGAAGAGAAGAAAGGCGTTTGGAGATGAAATTATAACGGCAGATGTGTAATTTTAACTTCTCTAATTATTTTTATATTTTAACTAATATGAAATAGCATGTCATCATTTTACGGCATATTTAATGTACTTGTGGTGCCACATCATCTTTTTCTATGGCGTGGATTTTCAACCTCATTTATTTAGAGAATTTATTAAGCAATCCTATTAATAAACGTCCATGTCAATATATGTCAACAAAAATTAGATAGAAGGACCAAAAAAAGGCTGAACAAATAAACTTTATGGACCAAAAAGAAGATTTCTTAAGTTAAGGACCAAAGAGGGGTTTTTTTTCAAAGTAAAGGGACCAAAATGGAGTTTTAACCAACCAAAAAACATGTTTCTTTCCTGGCTTTTATTTTAGAAAATATGGCCTATTCGTGATTCTTTAATTTTCAAAAATCGCCCCCTACTCCCTTATTGATCTTTTAGTAATTAAATATTAATAAATAACATAACCAACACCTTAAATAGTTCATTGAATAATAGTCTTCCTAAAGTGAAAGTAATTAAAACGTCTTGAGTTTGAGTAAAAATCTCACAAGAAATGAGATAGATGAGCAAAGAAATGAGAAAATGGTTGTCTTTCCAATTCTATTTACAATGCAAATTTTTTTAAAAAATATATATCAATAAAATAAAAAATAAACTCTATTTACCAGTTAGGTTGACTGCTGCTCCTTTCAAGTTACATATATAACTGTTAAATCTACGTAGATCATCAGTTGGGAAGAAGAGATTCTTGACTTTTATTTTGAGCTTTCCACCAATAATTCCAACATGTAATGGATGTACAGAATTTATTGTCATTTTGACTTGAGCTTGTTGTCTGCATTTAACATCAGGTAATGCAGTTGTAATTCTAGGTTGGCTAGCTTTTAATTTTACTTAAATTTCTACCCAGTCTCCCGGGTTCTCATGTGCATGCTGTGCCGATCATGTATCTTTTGGTGCTTGTCTTTTTCCCACTTTTCACATGCTTCCTTTTCCCTTTCGATCCTTTTCCTTTTGCCTTTTCCTTTTCCTTTTTCCCTTACTTCGTTTAGAGAGGCCCGGGGAGCAGGGAGTGGTTGGTTTTTGAGAGGGCTTTATAAGATCATTATGTTCTACTTTACAAGTTCAAATACACACATATATCCATATATGGAGAATAAAATCTATTAGATTCTCTTGCTGTTGGAACTTTCTGCATGTTCGTACTTTCTACTAATTCAAAAGGTAGACATAATTAGTATATTATTATAACTATCAAACATTGGAATTCCTTAATTAACTTAACTTAATTTGACTGGTTAAAATTTTAAATTAGATGTTAACTCCAATATTTATATTCCAAAATTTGATTTAAAAAATAATATTTACTTATCAATTATAACTCTTGAAGTTAAAGTGATTGGATTAATTGTTATATGTGTACTTATTGTATGGGAATTGAAAATGAAACTACACATACCTCATACAATCGCTCAAAGTGATTGGAGTTATTGACGATGTTTGCTCTCAAAGAATCTCCCTATTATTTTTCCCCCAACTCACACCTGCAACCTTAAGTTGCAGTGGTTATGTACACGATGATCGACCCTTGGGCATGAACAGGTCTTGAATGGCAAAAGCTATGAAATCCCCTTATCCCAAATTTTCCTATGTTAAAAAAATATAGGGTTTGGATACAGAGGAGAATCAATTTACACATAAATTTTATATATTATATTTATATTAAATTTTAATAATTTATTTTTTTATTTTTAATAATCGAGATTTATTAACATTTTTTAGATAAAAATCTCAATTATTAAAAATAAAAAATTAAATAATTAAAATTTTAAATAAATATGATATGTAAGATTTATATATAAATAAATTATTAATCTCACATCCATATATATATATATATATCTTTTATAACCTTAAAAGAAAACCACCTCAATATAAAGAGATTTATCATTTATTAATTATTATATAATGTGTTGTTTCGAGTTACTTTTAGGAAAATTGAAACTGGGAGTCCGATTAGAAAAGTAAAAAGTGAAATGAAAAGTCATATAACCCCATATACTCAACAGACGGGAAATATCATAGCATTCAAATTCACCAGAACTCTTTCAAACTGCAAGCAACCGTCTCTTTTCTCTCCTTTTTAAATTCTTTAATAACTCAAAAAAATATTTATTTTTATTTTAAAATTAGTAGTAATATACAAGGAGGTGGTCGTTTTATCCTTATAAAGAACTATTCATATTATGATTTAGTAGCGCGGGGGTTTGAATTCCACACCCAACTTAAATTTAAAAAAAAAAAAAAAAAACCGAGGAACGCGACTCCTCTGCCGCCGGCTTGTCTTTTCAGAACCAATTAGAAAGCAAGTGCTCTTCCGCCCCCAAAACCAGCACTCATTTTCTCCACGTGTCACCCTCAGGCACGGGCCCCGCCCAATGACAACATCGCATCACGTGAACCACCCACGTGATCACTCATCTTTCTGTCTCTCCGTTCAAACGCCGCCGTCTTACACCCGCATCGCCACCGCCGTTTCATGTGCGAGCTCCTCCAAAATGTCCCGCTCTATCTCTGCCGCGATGTCTTCCCCTTCTTCCTCGTACGCCGCCGCGGTCTGTAGCTTCATCTCCGGAAAATCTTCTTCAATTAAACCGTCGATGTCTTCCAAAACCCGACAATCAGCTTGTGGGAATCTTCGAATTTTGGAGCATAATGTCTCTATCAACTCTGATCCTCGCATGTGATGGGTACTTTTAATACTACTTACCCACGGCTTGGTGTTGAAAAAAGGCTTCAAAATCTCGACTAAAATCTCATCCACCAAATGAAACAGCAGTTTCCTATTGCATCGATGACGTAAAGAAGCAGAATTTTTACAGGGTACGGCGGCACGGGTGGCGTTAAAATGCTCGATGAAGTAAAAAATGGAGGGGTCAAGGGGGTGAGAAGGGGAGAACCACCGAGTGAAGGAAACTGGGGTGTCTTGGTCAATCCCAGTACATTTTAGGATTCCAGTGATGTATTCATGCGCTGCTCCGTCGACTCCGGCGAAGGTGGCAGTGGCAGCACCGTTACACTTGTTGCGGTGGTCGCCTCGGACAGGGTGCGGGTGTGTCTCTTGTTGTTTGTACGTTTGGCTCGAACAACTAGATAACTGTGAGCTCTGTTTCGATGTTTGAGCCTCTGCAATCTGTAAGGAATCCACAAAAATAGGGTCCAGATTAACTGTAAAATTGTATGAAGAAAGGCGACATTTTTTCAAAAAGGAAAAGCACAACGACTTGGAGTGCATACCTGTTTTTGCGAAAATTTTGTTGCTGGGGAAGAAGAAGAGTGATCTTTCTTCACCGGAAGCAGAGTAGGGACAGAGATGTTAAGGAGGTCATTGGATAAAGGTGTTTTCTTGCATTTTCTGTCAGGAGTGCTAACATTGGCAGGACGAACGAACGTCTCCTCTTGAACCGGCTTTTTCAGCCTGGGACTGAACCTTCCTCCGGTGTATTTCTTGCATTTCTTAATGGGTAGCTCTTCCTGCTGCTGCTCTTGCTTCTCTTGCACAGGCTGCAACTTGGGTTTTGCAGGGAAAATTTTAATATTATGTGGCTGGACCTCCGGTGGTGGAGTGGAGACGCCCGGTTTGCTTTTGGGTTCCAGAAACCTGAGTCTGGACGAGCAAGATGGTGCCGAGTGCTTTCCTGGACTAGACTGATCCGCTACTTTGGCTAGAGCCTTAGAAATTTTCTGAGCCTTGAATTGGTTCACGAGTTCCTCTCTGGCGACCTCTCTGTTGCGGACTGTGTTGGTTATATTCATTCCTACCTTCCGACCTACACTTTCTTTCACCTGTTTCACTATCTGTCTAGCATAATGACCAGGACTTCTGTTCTCATCTTCGTTTTTGAGCTCCTTTCTCTTTAATGCCCCGAGACGGGAAAGTACTAACTCTTCGCTGGGGCTTATGTTCTCTTTGTTAATTTGGAGCGAGAGACGGTGGTGGAGGTCGACGTCTGATCTTCTTGCCGCAGATATTCTCGGCGTCTCCGGCAAAGAACGGGTTCCTATAATATCCCCATCCAGAGAATTTCTGTGTTTGGTATGAAGAGGTTTTCTGGGCTGAAGATGGTGATGCAACGATTTTGGTGTGGAGGAAGGCGCAGGTAGCTGGTTACTTTCGGGGATAAGGTCGAGACCCATGAGCCTGGCAACCAAAGTCGGAGTCTTGGTGGCCGGAGAACTAATAATTTCGGAAGAAAACTCATTCTTTGGAGCTTCAAGTCTTCCTCTTGTATCTCCACGCGTTTTGATTTGAATTCCCAACTAGATTGAAAAACATTATCATTATTATCATGATTAATTTCTCATTTTTCAAAAAGAAGTTGTGAATCTTGAGAAATAAAATTAATTAAATAGAGAACATGGAAATGGAAACCATAAAAAAGAGAGAAAATGAAGGTAATTAAAACAAACTTACTGAAGGAATATTTATATTTTCTTCTTTACTTATTGAAGGCAACGAAGTTGAACTTTTCTTTCCCTCCTCTAATTCCAAACTGTTTCTTGGTGCCTCTATACCTACACATTCATCAAATCCATTTTTAGTCTCAAATCCGATCAATTACCAGAGATTAACCCAGTTAGTATTTGCAGAGAAGCTCTTGCAAGAACAGAGGAAAAAAGAAAACAAAAAGAGTACCGTTGACCGGTTCTTGAGGTTGAAAGGAGTGGGGTTTTTGAGAAATACTGGTATCACCCGAAGCAGAGTGGTGGTGTAAAGGGAACGGAAAATGGTGAAAATCGAAAAAGTGAAAGACGGCGCTGAGGCAACCAGAAGGAGTGCTAGTACTGGCGGTATGATTAGAGTCTCTGTCTCTCTTGGAGGTGGCTGCCGTGGAGGAGGAGCTTTTACCACCACCCAAGTACCAATCCCTACCCATATCCAGCTAAAAAAACTCAGATCCTCCCCTGCTTTTCTATGGAAACATTTAGAAAGTTGGGTGGTAAAAGACCGTAGTATGAAAAAATCAGAATGAAAATGACAAGAAGCAGATGAGAAAGAGGGGAATTAAGGCTACTTATGAAGAAGAAAAGCTGAAAAACCTTGGAGGGAGGCTGAAGAAGAAGCGAGAAAAGCGGATCCATAAAGAGAATAAATCAGGCATATTAGTTTGATTTTGAGAAAGAGAATATAAGCAGCGGTATAGGGGGTAGGGTACAAGAAAAAAGGCTTTTGCATTTGTATTTTTGCTTCTTTTTTTTTAACTCACTCACTCCTAAGTTTTACTGGACCATTGAAGACCAGACCAGACCAGACCCATCGTCTCTTTGATTCTTTGGGAATTGAAACGAATTTTTCTATGGTGCCGGATGGGATGACTGTATGATGACCGAGTACTAGTATTTTTTCTTTCATTTTCCTTCACTCTCCCTCATTTTCTTTATTGACAGTTTGACACGTACTAAACTGTAAACACAAAACAGTGTCCTCGTTCCTCCGAGCTAGCTCTCTTTTTTTTTTTTAACACGTCCATCTGGGTTTTAATTTTTAAATAATTTTTAAATACGAGGTGGGGTTTATTGGGGATCTGCAATGGGAGCCTGTCTGTGACTCATTTTTTTGACGTTTTTCGGGTTTATCTTTCCGTTTAATCATTTTACATAAAAGAAAAATGATTTACAATTTGTATATATAAGTAAATTATACATTTTATAATTATTAATAACAAATTTATGTTGCGTGTAAACTGTGAAACTGCTATCTCATCATTTTCTTTGCAAATTTAAGTAAAAACCCACTTTTACCTCCTCACTTAATAAGTTTAAAAATTTTAGTCTCTCAACTTATAATATAACACTTTTAATCTCTCACTTTACTAAATTTATAGATTTTAACTTCTCACTTATTAAAATTGAAGAAAATAGCCTCAATTTAAATTGATTGTTAACTCTATTAACTGAAAATAAATTTTTATCGATTAACAGTTAATTAATAACCAATTAATAGAATTAACGAAATATTATAAAATTAGTTCTATTAATTCTATTAGCTGAAAAAAAGTTTTTAATAGTTAACAATCAATTAACAGTAAGTTAATAGAGTTAACAGTCAACTAACAGAACTAACAAATGGTCACAAAGTGAGGGTTATTTTTTTTAATTTTAATAGATAAAAGGTTAAAAATGTCATAGTACAAGGTGAGGGACTAAAACCTTCAAATTTAATAAGATGAGGGGCTAAATGTAGGATTTTGCATCAAATTTACGTGTCTTTTTAGTTTTTTAAGTATTTTAGACAAAATTTTAAAATATTTTTCAAAAGTGAATCTTGTTAGAGTTTACGCATAGTTAATTTTATGAATTTCATAAATTCTATTTTGTATTTTACAAAAACTCTATTCAAACAATATTTTTTAAAAGTAATTAAATAAAGAACAATAACGAGAAGGACAGAAATTTAAAATAAAATTTTAGAACTTATCATGTAAATTATATTATGTCATTAAATTAGTTTGTTTACATAGTGTTATAAATTCAAAAAACAAAAAAATTAATCATTAAATAATATAAAATTCACTATTTAATATTTTAAATAATGTGGCATAAGTTACAATATTAGTTTCAGATTTTAGTTTTAAATTTTATTCCCATTTTTCATTATTCTTATAAATTCAAAAAACAAAAAAATTAATCATTAAATAATATAAAATTCACTATTTAATATTTTAAATAATGTGGCATAAGTTACAATATTGGTCTTATATTTTATTTCTAAATGTTGGTTTCATTTGTCAATATTTTTAAATAAAACAT